TGATCTTCACAATGCTCTGAAGGGCCGTAATTATTAGTTCTACTTTAGACATAAAAAAATCAATCCTGGTTCTGTGGTGCACACTTATAATCGCAGCTACTTAAGAAGCTGAGGCAGGGGCTGGGGGTTTAGCCCAGCGGCATAAGTGCCTGCCTTGCAAGCAGGCAGTCGTGAGTTCAATCCCTGGTACTGATAAAAACGAAAAAAAAAAAAAAACACCAAGGAAGCTGAGGCAGAAGATGGCAAGTTCAAGGCCAGCCTGGGCAACTTAGTGAGACCCTGACAAAATTAAAAGTAAAAAAGGCTGGAGGCGTAGCTCAGTGGTAGATTGCTTGCCTAGCATGCATGAAGCCCTGAGTTCAATCCCCAATACTGAAAAGGAAAAAAAAAAAAAAAGGAAGATAAAGAAGAAAGAAAGAAACTAAGGCTTGAGTACAAGAATGACTCCAAATCCTGTTCATTTGATTATATCTGAGGTGGCAGGCAATGCTTTATATGTACAAGTTACACTTCTATTATCTGATTTATTATTATTATTATTATTATGTACCAGGAATCAAACTCATGACTTCAGGGTTGCCAGGTAAGTGTCATGCCACTGAGCTATATTCCTAGCCCTTCTATTATCTAATTTAATCCTCACAATGATGGTATGTAAATAATACTATCATCTCTCTCTGTTTTCAGAGGAGGAAACTGAGGCACAGAAAAGGCCGAGAGCCTTGCCTCAGATTGCACAGCTCCTAAGTGGCAGAGCTACGAGTTGAACCCTGGCTCTGAACCCAGCTTTGTTGTCTGTTACTAACATAGTTGGACTCTGTTCCTTAACTTGGCCAGCAATCACCCACCACAGTCATCTGGCTAAGGAATGGGGATACAGAGAATACTTCTCTGGTATTTTCTGCTTGTAAAGGCAGAAAGAGGCAGAACTGTGAAGAAGGCTAAAAGCCTCTGACTGGACAACGTGTGGAGAGCTAAGGGGACCAGGGCCTGGCTCTTACCCTGTGTTCTGCACTCTCAGCACAACCAAGCAGGGCACTGGGGGCTGCACACAGAGAGGCCCTCTGGCTTGCAATCATGCCCTTTTTCTCAGCCTGTGGCCTGAGAAAATGGCGCTTTCCCAGGGCTGAGGCCAGGTTTACCCCCTCCAAGGCCCAGCTGTAGGGCGGCTGCCCAAACTCCCGCCAACCCCGCCTCTCCTACACTACAGCAGCCAAGCTGCTGCTCTGTGGTCACCTGGACCCAATTTCCTTCTTCCTGCCTCCTCCCATCTCTGGGAAGCGCCCCTCAGCTGCCCTGCCAATTCCCAAAGGCTTCTCCCCCAGGAAGCTATCACTGTTTCCCCCACCTCCGACCCCTGGGTCTCCTAGCCCTCGGCTCAGAGCACTCTGCTTTCCTTTCAGCCCCCCACACAGCTCTAGCCCTCGGCTCAGAGCACTCTGCTTTCCTTTCAGCCCCCCACACAGAGAATCACTTGGACCATCAGCCCCTTTTCTATTTGGTTCCTGGCTGAACACTGGGTCCCCCTGGCCAGACTTTGAGTTCCCTTCCCTTAGGGCGGTATTGCTTTGTGTCATACCCTCCATCCCCACCTCCCTGGCAGGTTACAGGCCAGAGCCAGAGAGTTGCCCTTGCCCTGGAGGCCTGGAGCCAGCATACCTGTTCTTCATGTATTACATGAGGAAACCCAGAAGGCCCACGGTGGGAAAGGGACCTGTCCAAGGTCACCCAGAGGCCAGGCTAGGCCTCAAAACCAGGTCTTCTGACTCTCAAGCCTAGCATTCTGGCACTACACATGAATCAAGTTTCTAATCCTCCAGGTCCTCCTTTACAGGAAGGAGACCAAACTAGCTCCTAGCAAGTATTGCCTGAATGACACGTGCTAACTCTGTCCTAAATGCCATTATCTGGAAAAGCCTCAAAGAGAGTATTAGTACAATCTCCTTCCATCTACTATCATGTCATAGACAAGCAAATTGATACCCAGAAAGTGGAAGGACCTCCTCAAGGTCAGGCAGAGCTTGGGTTAAGGCTGAGATAGGATGCTGTGTCAGTTTCTTTGAAGAATTAAGCATCACCAACTCATTCATTCAGTAAAGATTTGAGAACCTGCTAATTCCAGGATTGGTGCTGGGCGCTGGGAATATAAAGACAGTCATAACTGGAATGGATAGGAGGGGTACAGGAAATGTTTTGTGTCTTGGCCTGGGTACCAGTTACCTGGGCACGTTCAGATTGTGAAATCCATCAAAGTATACATTTGATATACACAGTTTTGTGCTTGTGACTTTTTTAAAAGACGGTCATAAGCATTGAGTTCCCAGAATTAAGCTATGGCAGGAGAGATGGGAAATTAGACAACTGACTACAAAACAACTGTCTGATTACTGTGGCAAGTATAGTATACTAATAGAGGCTGGGGATTTAGCTCAGTGGCGTAAGCACCTGCCTTGCAAGTGCATGGTTGTGAGTTTGATACCCGGTACCAATAGAAATTTTTTAAAAAATAGTATAATAATGAAGTAGAGGGTCCTAGGAATTAGGGTGTGGGAGGGCCAGATTTAGCTTGGGAGTGGTCAAGGCGGCTTCTCAAAGAAGGTGAGGTCCAAGCAGAATTGGAAGGAACGAGCAGGGATAAACTCAGCAGGACTGATTCTCAACCCCTGCCTCATACTGCACAAAACACTCATCATGAACATAGAACAGTATACTCCTGACCTTGGATAGGCAAAGATTTCTTAGGTACTAAAAGCACTAATCATAAAACCAGACTTATCAGGGGCATTAGAGACAGAGACACATAGTATGTGTGAAGGTCCAGAGGACGAAGGGGCAAAATGTGTTGGACGAACCCAGAAAAGGCCAGGAGGGAAGGCAGGGAAGTGAACGAGAGAAAGAAGAGAGGCAGAGGCTGGGCCAGCCAGGCAGGGTTCTGTGGGCCAGGTGAGCTGAGACTTCATCCCTGGGCTGCTACGCAGAGAAGGGATTAAGTAAGGGGAGTGGCAGGAAGAGCACCTGAAGCAAAAGTAGAGGATAATGCAACCTTAACCAGGTTTTGGGAAACTTCACGTTACCATCTTTGATGTGCTCAGAACTTTACCCTATACAACCTGGAGGATAAAAGGAAACACGTCCCCTCTTCTCCACGCAGCAACAAGACAGGGCCAGGCTTGGGTTCTGCTCCTTTGCAATCAAGATGTAGTTTTACAACTTGAAAAAAAAAAGTCACTTAATCCAGGTGCCAGCATGAGGTGGGGCACTGCAGGTGGGGACTCAGGCTGTGAGGCCTTGTTCCACCAGGCCCAGCCCTGGTCTTAGAGGAGTTGGGGTGTGCCAGCTCCAACCCACACCAGGCTTCTGCTACAGCCCCACCCACCCCTGCTCAGCACCTGGCCTCTACCTCCTCTTCCCTATTTCCCTCCCTTGGGAAGAGGGAGCTTGGAGCCAGGAGTTTCCTCCACCTACCTTAGTACCCACATAATACCAAGAGACTTGCACCAGAGCCTGGGGGGCTTCCTGAGCCCCCAGTCCAGCTGTCTCATTCTAAGGTCCCTTCCCTCCAGGTTGCTCAGGAAAGACACTGACGGTAGAGACGCCATCTAGTTTGACCAATACCTGAGTACCTGCTGCAGGCCAGACACTGTACTAGAGAGCTGCTGCTGAGATCTCCATGAACTCTGGGCCAGTGCACACAGCCAACATGACAAGTGCTTTACAGAGGTGCAGAGCGCAACTGAGGCTAGAAACCGAGACAGATTTCCCTCAGAGAACACTGCATGCACATCAGGGAGAATTCTAAGAAAGGACATTTGAGCTGGGCCATAAGGAATAGGGAAAATGGCCAGTAAGAAATGCTTTAAGTGGGGCTGGGGATTTAGCTCAGCGGTATAAGCGCCTGCCTTGCAAGCAGGCAATCGTGAGTTCGATCCCTGGTACCGATAAAAACGAAAAAGACAAAAAAAAAAAAAAAAAAAAAAAAAAGAAATGCTCTAAGTGACAGAGGTAAGTACAAGAATTATTATGACTAGGAAGGGTGTCAAGACCATCATCTGCATCTAAATATTCACTCCATCATCACACTGATTCTATGAAGCACTCTAATTATGCCTAGTTCCTAAACATAACTAAGGTTGAGAGAGGGGACTTGATTTGTTTTCAAACTCCCACAGCTGGTAAGGGGCAGAACCCAGATTGAAACTCAATTCCATCTTCCATACTCTTAATGTACACTATACAGAGTAGCTTGAGCAAAGGACGCAGGGAGATGTGAGAAGAGGAGGTTGGAGGGGGGCCAGGGCTTGGTAGAAGGAGTCTTGTTGGGGAGGAGTAGGGCTTTATCTAGAGAGCTGTGGGGAGCCAACAATGAGGTGCATTGGTTGGGGAGGGTTAATGACAAGAGATGATACAATTAGCTCTGTTGTCAGAAGCCCACTTTTTAGAGATCAGACAGAGAAAACCTGTGTGGGAAACACTGCGAAAACCCAAGAGAAAGATAGGGGCCAAGAGGTAAGGAGTGTACCAGGGAGACACCAAGCAGATCCGGAGACGGTTGGCTCTGGTAGGTGAGGTAGGAGGCTCAAAGGTGATTTCTGGGGGCTTAAGTGCTCCAGAAGGAAGCTAAAAGTTGGCCTTGATGTTGGTTGTTCTGTACCCTGGAGTCTGGACTGGAATCCTGGTTCTGCAGCTAGCTGTGATGAGTCCTGGCTCAGCCTCCTACTTGCTGTGACTGCAGGTGAGTGACAGGACCTTTCACTGTCTGTATCTCTGCTGCAGGATGCAGCAACTGACAGTACCTACTACGTGGATGACATGGGTTAGCATCTATAAGAGCTCTGTGGGTATTCGGTGTTAACTGTACTATTGTAGAATTCACATTTTAGGGGCTGGGGATTTAGCTCAGCGGCATAAGTGCCTGCCTTGCAAGCAGGCAGTCGTGAGTTCGATCACTGGTACCGATAAAAAGGAAAAAGACAAAAAAAAAAAAAAAAAAAAGAAAGAAAAAAGAATTCACATTTTATTTATTTTTATTTTATTTTATTATTTTGGGGGGTACTGGGGATCGAACTCATGACCTCATGCTTGCCAGGCATTTAGCTCACTTATGCCACTTATGCCAGTGAGCTAAATCCCTGGCCCTTATTTTTTTGTCTTTTTGAGATATGATCTCACTAAGCAGTTCAGGTTAGTCTGAACTCACTTCATAGCCCAGGCTGGCCTTGAACATTATAGCCTCAGCCTCCCAGAGTGCTGGGATTACAGGTATGCACCATCACGCCCAGGCAAGTTCACAGTGGGGAGACACATCAATTGTACAGTGGATTATTAGTGTTGTGTGTGTGTGTGTGTGTGTACCTCAAATTGAACTTAAGACCTTGCGCTTGCCAGACAGGTGCGTTCCACTGAGCTATATCCCCAGCTCCTATAGCTCCTACAGTATTTAATTACAACAGTGATAAATACACTGAAGAAGCAGTGCACACTGGAAGACAGGGCAGGGTTCCCGGAGTGCATGAGGGGCCCAGGGCCCACTGAGCCCCTGAACTGAGCTGAGGACGATAGGGTGGCCAGGAAGCAAGTGGGAGGGAGGGCACAGTGAGGAGGTGGATCCTCAGGTGGGAGAAGGGGCCAGGAGGCCCGTGTTTCTGTAACTTTGCTCTCTAGAAGCTGCAAGGGGAGCGAGAAGTGTGTCGGGCAGAAAGGGCACTAAGGCCCCTGCGAGGAAGAGGAACCCTGACTTAGCAGGTCTGTGAGGAGGCGGCTCAGGGAGCTGGAAGGGACAGGGGCTGAGAAGGGCCTTTGTCCCTTTGCCTGCTGGGGCGGGAGCAGCAGGGGCTGAGGCTGCAGCTGGCCACCAGCAGCTGCGGTGGCCAGAGCTACATTCCTTCCCCTGCCAGGGAAGCAAGTCCAGGCTGAGACCTTCCACTCCCCTCCAACACACACACACACACACACACACACACACACACACTTTAGTCAACACTGAGTTATGACTTCAAACAGACAGCTCCAAACTGTCCTCCCTGGCCCTGGTCTCTCCCAGCTCCCCAGAGTAAGCCAGCAGGCAGCCAAATTTCTGGGAAAGGCACAGAGGTTTGGGCTTGGAGTCCAAAGCCTTTGTGTTAAGTCTTGACTCAGTCTCTCCAGCTTGCTGTGTGACCTCAGCCAGGTCACCAGCCCTCGCTGGGCCTGAATGTCCTCTGTAAAACACAGGGAAGAGGAGGGTGGGATGACATAAATGGGGTGGGGAGCCCAGCAACTGGCTTCAGCCAGCTGCTGCAGCTTTGCTGCCCTCCCGGTAGGAGGCACTAGGGCCTTGGGGGTCCGGAAGCTGGGGACAGGCAGCCTTTCATCTCTTCTGGCCCAGGGTCGCTGCAGGTTGGCAGGCTCCACATCCCGAGATCGAGTTTCAGGCTGGAAGGGGCCTTCCTGTGACCTCAGCCGGCCAGCCCTGCCCCTGCCTCCCTCCTCCCCATCCTCACCAGAGGGAAGCAGGCAGCATCCCGCCCAAGGTCACTGGCCAGCAAGTGGTTGTCCTTCGGCCTGCCCTTCCCTCCCAGCAGAGCCAGCCCCGGCCAGCCTCCCCCTGTAAAGCCCCAGGTCTCCTGGGCCATTAGGAATTTGCCAGGTGAGGCGTGGTCTTTTTCCTCTCTCTTGTTTCTTGGCTTGTTTTCCCAGTTCTGCAACAGCCGCCTTCTGCAAAAGCCTCTGGGTTGGTGTACAGGAACATTTTTCTTTAAGAGAGAGAGAGAGGAAGGGAGAGAGAAATGCAGCGGCGGTTTGGGTAAAAAAGCAACGGCTCCTTAATCCTTCCCTGTAACCCCTGGCTCAGGAGCCCAGTTGGCTCTGGTGCAGGGAAGGAAGGCCCTGCTGGGTGAGAGGCCTGGGCTTGTCCCTGGTCCCTGCTGCCCCCTCCTCACCCGCTCTGTGTCCTTCAGTGGCTGGTCTGGCTTTTGGAGGCAGGAGCAGGCAGGCTGCAGGGCTCAGTAGGGCTGGGAAGATGTGGGGTGTGGAGGGGTTGGCAGGAGACGACCACCCCTGCCCACTCCGCCACCTTCTCTGGAGGTTACAGGATCTGGGTTTTCATCTGTAACTTCCCTCTTCCTGCTTTCATTTCTTTCTTCTCCTGTTTTAGGAATCACTGGAGTCTCCAGAGCAGGTTCCCATCTTTGCACACCACTGCCAGCATAGGACTGGGCTTCCTTTTTCTGTAAAGTGGTTCATTTTCTCTCTACCCGCTGAGATCCACTTTACACACTGAGATCCTCTGTGGGGTGGCACCCAATGTTCTCCCCTTTGCTCTGGCCCTTAAGTATCAGTTTTAGTTCCAATACTTATTTAGTGCCTAACACATAGATTTTTTTTTTTTTTTTTTTTTTTGTCTTTTTCGTTTTTATCGGTACCAGGGATCGAACTCAGGACTGCCTGCTTGCAAGGCAGGTGCTTATGCCTCTGAGCTAAACCTCCAGCCCCTCATAGATGTATTTTATGGTGTCTGTTGTTTTCCTTCTTTCTTTCTTTTTTTCCCCTCTTTTTTCCTTGAGACAGAGTCTAACTATATAGTTCAGGCCTCATACTCACTATGTAGCCCAGCGGGTCTCAAACTCTTGGTGATCCGCCTGCCTCAGCCTTCTGAAGGCTTGTGATGTTTCTTTAATAAATAAATAAATTCAAACTATAAATAGGACTCTCAGATATTCACAGCAGTCATGCAAAAAGGCCATTTGATTATGACACATCCCATTCAAGCCTTCCCAAATCTTGCTTGCCACTCCCCAGCCTTCAGAGGATTCCTTTTCCCCCAGTGAGCTCCTTTCTCTTGCCTCTGGGCCTTTGCACAGGAAATTCCCTCTGCTTGCCACACCCGTCCCCACCTCTCCTCTGGCTGATTCCTACCTGCCAGGCTTCTGAACCTTGCCCAGACCACAGAGGCACATGTTATACCAGCAAAGCAGGGATACTAATGACTTTTTTTTCAAATAATTTGGCCTTTTTTTTTTTTTGAGGTAGATTTTTTCTATGCAGTTCAGGCTATCCTTGAGCTCATTTTGTAGTCTAGGCTGGTCTTGAATTTTCAAGGACCCTCCTGTCTCAGCCTTCAGAATGCTAGGATTACAGGCATGCACCACCATACCTGGCAGCACTTGATAATTTTTTAAATCCACTGAAACTGTTCGTGAGAACTATCAGAACTCTATTTAAAAAAAAAAAAAAAAAAAAAAAAAGGAACTCTGAAGAAGCGTCTTCCTCTTACTTTATGGTTGGTGCTGCTTCTCTGTTAAATTTACCGGTAGGCCAGTCTAACAGCAGGTGGCATAATGTGGTTCTGACCTTTGTGTCTCAGTCTGGATAATACCTCCTCCTCCAGGAAGCCTTCACTGACTCCTCCAGTCAAGTTTAGGTCTCTTCTTGATCCTCCCAAAGTCCCGCTGGACTTTTAATATCAAATATTTGTTTTACTTATTCTCCAACCACCCTATAAGTGTATAAGTGCCTGGAGGGCCCATTTACTTCTATATCTTAATCTCTAACATGAAACAATTCCCTCACATGTACGTCACCAACCTTTTTTCATTCAATCTTCTTTGCAGGGTCTGTCCTATACATTATATTCTTGGTCCCTACTACTTTATACCTGAGGAACTCCTACTGACTCTTCAGAATCGCATCCAAATTACTCCTGCTTTGGAAACTTGCCCTAGTGTCTTGGTTGATATACTTCTATAAACTCATATTCTATGCATGTCTGCCCCCCTTTATTACAATTTTTGTATATCTTTTTTCTCATTAGATCGGGAGCCATTCAAGGGCAGAGGCTGGAAAGCTTGATCCCTCAGACACCAATGTCATGTATATAAGGCTAGTCAGAGCAGGCAGTAGTGTGTACCTGTCAAATGAACAGATTGGGCTGGGCCAGGTAGTGCATGCCTGGAATCTCAGCTACTCCAGACATTTAGGCAGGAGTATCTCAAATTTGAGGCCCTCTTAAGCAATTGAAAAAGACACTGTCTCAAAACAAAAATATATAAATAAAGAAAGGCGGGGCAGCTCTGTGTGAAGGCCTTGAATTCAATAGCTGTAACTCACACGCACACTCACACGCACACGCGCACACACACACACATACTGGTGAAGGAGGTAACCTTCTGGCAGGATTTTGGCTTTTATTTTAAGGAGGGAAGCCTGGATCGAACCCAGGGCCTGTGCTTGTGGAGCATGGGCTTTACCACGCTGCCACACCCTCAGCCGCTGACAGGATTTGGGGTGAAAGCAAAGAGGGTGAGGTCAAATCATCACCAGGACATCTGTCACTGTGTGCGCCATAGCATGGCTGGTAAGACCATGACTGAGACCCCCTTAGAGGCACGCGCATCTGGGAAGAGCAAGCTCCCTGTGCCTCAGTTTCTTCACCTGTTAAATGTAACAGTCTCCTCACCCAGAATTAAGTAGGTTAATATATGCAACGTGCGGAGAGTTGTACCAGGCGCGCCACTACTGTGTTTGCTGCTGTAGTCATCTCTCTCGCGGAGCACTTAGGCCGTGCCAGGCACTTTTTATCTGCCATCTCACTTTGTCCTCACAGCAGCCTGACAGGCAGGGACTGCTGTCCCCTTTTCCAGAGAAATGAGGCGTAAGCAGGCGAGCAGCTTGCTAAGGTCAGTAGCTAAGTAAGTGGCAGGCATGGGATTTGAACCCACACCTCCGTGGCCTGCGCCCACCCCTGTTCCTAGATGGTGGCCCCTGCCTGCAGGAGAAGGGAGGAAGAGGACGTGACATAGTAGGAAGGCAGGGAGGCTTCACTGAGCCTGGGTCTTGGAAGCAGAGCAGCAGGGCCTTTTTCCAGAGCTTTCATTTCAGTCCGCCTCTTCTAAGCAGGTGAAAAACCCCACAGAGAGCCCTTCCTGAGCCCCCTCCCCCTCCCAGCGCTGCTCACCCCCAACGCAGGAAGGGGAGGTCAGGCATGCAGTGTGGGGGACGCAGGGGAGGGGGCCCGGGGGAGCATCATTCCAGAGCCTTCCCCTCTGGCACCCCCCTTTCCCATCAAAGGCGCTCCGGGAGGAGAGCGCATTCCAGGTGGAAGGAATGGCAAACGCAAAGGCTGCGGATTAAGGATGTGGAGGCGGGGAAAGCCTGTGAGCTGGGCTGGAACCGAGGTTCGGGGGGCCCCCTGGGATTGCTCGGTGGAGAAGAACTTGTTTGATGAGAGAGGAGAGGAGAGAGGTGGGGGGAGGGAGCAGGCTGCGGACCCCGCGAGAGCTGAGGGTGTGTTGTGGGGGGAGTGGCCAGGAGAATGTTCTGGGCTCTGAGGCTGGGCCTGGGGATGCAGAGGGGGTGATTCTTCTTGATCTTTGTTCCTTTGTGTCTTCCTCTGTCAGCTCTGAACAGTCACTGGCTGGTGGGCTTTTATGCATTCTCAACTGATATTTCCTCTCAGCATTATTCACTCCATTTTATAGATGAGAAAAACTGAGGCTTAGACAGGTTACATACTGCCCCTCCTTATCAAACTTGTCCAGATTAGACAGGGCATCAAAGGCAGACCTCAGACTCTCATACCCAGATCTGTTTCTCTTGATTAGGCTGCTTTCCCCAGCAAGGCTGACAGGAACTCCTGTGTGGTCTGCACCTTAGAGTTGGAGTGGGCCTTATTTCTTGTGTCCCTCATGACAGCCTTTATCACCCTCATCTCATAGATAAAGAAACTGAGGCTCGGGTGTGTGTGTGTGACTTGGCCACAGTTACCAAGTCATTAGGTGGGTGCCTTTGGGGTTCAGATCCAATTCTGGTGGTTCGTCAGTCTTTTTTTAACTCCCTCTGCTTAGAAGAGGATCTGTTTCCTGCTCTTAGGGTAGAGGCAGGGGTGACTTTTTAGAATTGGCAGGAAAGGAACTTACATGGCTTGGTTTTTGCAACCTGGGGACTCACTGCAGACAGTGGATCATGCCAGGGCTCTGGGTGACACCTTTTATTGGAGGAGAGGGAGGGCCTTCTCCAGCGGTGTCTCCGGTTCCATGGTTGGGTCTGAATTCTAGCTGTGTGGCTTTCTAACTGGGTGTCCAATCACTTAACCTCTCCGTGCTTCTTTGACCTCATTTGTAAAATGAAAATAACAAGAGTACCCAACTCATAGGACTACATAAGGATTAATGGTTTAATGGATACAAAGCAATTAGCGCATGCCTGGCATATACTGAATGCTCAGTAGATGTTGGTGCTTATTAATATTACTATTAATATGCACAGCATCACCCCCTTGAAAGCAGCCTGTCTATCTGCATCATCTAACAGGAAATACTAAGGCTTCTGTTTCTGGACAATCTGTATGCAAAACATCAGAATCTTAATTTATAGAGCAGGTAGGTAGAACTTAATTTATAGAGCAGGTAATAGAGCAGATATCAATAATAGTAATAGAACAATTATTAGACTCAACATTCACCTGCTCCTTACTAGGTACAGCTTATTGTTATTATTGTTCTAAGCACTTCACATTTATTATCTCATTTGGTCTTCATAGCTCAGGAAATAGAAACAGCTACGATTCCCATTTTATGGGAAAGGAAACTAAGGCTCAGAGAGGTGGAGTCACTCACCCAAAATCACACAGCTAGGAAATGGTATAACAGTGATCTGAACCCAGAATTGCTGTCTAGCTTCACATTTTCCTATAATAATTAAGGTCAGGTCACAGGTGCCTAGGACATGGACGCTTGCATCAGCTCTGTCTTAAACCACCTGCTGGATCTGTTGTCTCAGGCTTCTTCCATCTGTTCTGATAAAACTCAGTACTGACATTTCTTGTTTTTTTCCTGAGGATTGAACCCATAGCCTTTGCACTGAGTCCCCATCCCTTTTTTATTTATTTTGGGTCTTGCTAAATTGCCCAGGCTGGGTTTGAACTTGCAGTCCTCCTGCCTCAGTTTTCCAAGTGCTGGCATTACAGGCATGTGCTGCTATTCCCGGCCCAAGCACTGTTTATGGAGTGCCTTCTATGTGCCAGAAACTATCACATTTCATATTAAATTCTCACCCCCACCTTATAATCTTCTCTCATCCCCATACTTTGGAAGAGTAACGGAGACACAGCTAGGTTGGGTGACTATCCAAGATCTTTTCATCCTGGTGAGTTGGCTGAGTCAAGAGTCTGGTGGTCCATGCCTGTAATCCCAACTACTACACGTTCAAGGGCAGCCTGGGCAATTTAGAGAGATCTTGTTTCCAAATAAAGAAATAAAAAGGGGTAGAGTACCCTGCGTTTGATTCCCTAGTACCAAAAATAAATAAGCATTCAAGTCCATGAGGGTTTGCCTGGATAGTCCCTGGCATTTTCAGGGACTATCAGAAAGGTGTAGAGACCTTTGGAGAAGAGCCCTTTTCAAAGCGAGTTTCTTTTCCGTCATTCAGTCAGCAACAACCATGACATTGCCTTGGGGGGTCCTCAGGTCCTGTGTGCTCTGCCCTCCCTCCCCACAGCCACTGTCCTCTGTGGCCTCCATGCCCTCGGCACCTCCTCTGCCCTGCACCACACATCTTAACCTCCTGCTCACTCATTATGAATGGATGGACCTCGGTTCCTCAGCTCACCCCACACCACCTGCTTGAGGAAGCTTCCTTTGACCCCACCCATCCCGGCCGGCACTCAGGAACACAATGCACTTTACTTTCTTCTTCCTTATCAGTTTTGATCTTCTCTGGTCATCTGTTTAATCACTTTCTTCTTTATTATTATTATTATTATTATTATTTTGTCTTTTTTATTTTTATCGATACCGGGGATCGAACTCACGACCTCACGACCGCCTGCTTGCAAGGCAGGTGCTTATGCCGCTGAGCTAAATTCCCAGCCCCCCACTTTCTTCTTTAGCAGACTCTAAACTCCATGAGGGTCTTGTCTTGCTTAGCAGTGTAATGGTGCCACTGTCAAGCTGTTCTACATCCTGTAGGTGCTTAGTAACTTTTTTGTTGTTATTTGTTTTTGAACTATTAGACATGGAATCCAAGGTCCTGCACTAAGCTACCTCCCCAACCCTTTTTTCTTTTGAGATATAGAGTCTCACTAAATTGCCCAGGCTGGGCTTGAGCTTGAAAAATCCTCCTGCCTCAGCACCCCAGAGTGCTAGGATTATACACATGCACTGACACGTTAGATTAATAATTTTTTATTGAATGGATGAATCCATGAATGAATAAAGAGCTACTAGGCACTTTACACACATGACTCATTAATTCCACAGTTAACTCACTGAATCTGCACAACTGCTTGTTGTTTCCATTTTAGAGAGGAGGTAGGTGAGGCTCAGAGAGCAAGAAAGTGGAGGAGCTAGATTTGGTCTCATGTGGCTCTAACCCCAAAGTCAGTCCTGGCTTTTGCACAGCTGCAAATCCCACGGCCAGGATTTAAATGGCAACTGTTTGTCACAGTGTGTCCCAATTTGGGGTTGGTGGACAGCAGTCCAGGGGTACTGAAGCATTCTTGGCACTACCCATTTGGGGGTTCTGCCCTTCTAAAGTCTTAGGCGGTTTCCCTCCTACTCTCTTCTTGGCCTCCTTTCTTTCCAGAGAGAAAAAGACAAGGAATTACAGCCAAGGCAGCCTTTCTGGGAAAAACAATCCTGTGGTGAAGAGCTCTGTGCCGAGGGCGGAGAGACCTGGATTTAAATCCTGGCATGAAGCCACCCGTTGTTAAGGGCCCACAGGGGTGTCCTCATTTGGGTTCTGCCTCTGGCTACTAACCCACCTGTCTTCTCTTACACACCTCCAGAAACAGCTTCAACACACCTCTTGGGTGTTTATTAACACTAGCCTGGGTGGGGTGGGGTGGGGTGGTGGCAGAGTCTAAGGTGACCGAAAAGAGAGGTGGCTGGTGCCCTTAGGATCAGTCCTGCCCTTTCTCACATGACACCACACTTGGGAAAGGGAAATATGGGAATGGAAGCTAAATGGTACAGGTTGAGTGACAGGGTTGTTTTCAACTCTCTAGGTAACCGTGAGTCATGCGGTCATGGAGACTGAGTTTTCAATCTGAGCACAGTACCTGCCTTACAGAGTTGCTCTAAGTAAGATATCTTTGCTAACTTGTGCATTTATCATAGTATTATCCCGGTACAGCTTTCTATAATCAAGAAGCGGCGCATATGCCCACTCAGCACAAATCCTCAAAAACTACTCCAGCACGTGAGGAGATGCCTGAGTCTATTGTGCCTATTTTCCGGAAGGACAAACTGAGATCCACATAAGTTCCGGGAGTTATCTACGGTCCCAAAGTGAAGTAGCAGTTGAACTTGGTTCTAGCTCACCTGACAGTGGCTTCTCAGAACTAGCTCCGAGTCCCAGGTCCCAAACTTCAACCAGAAAGGACCCATTAGAGGAAGGAAGGAGCCTGTGACTCATTGGTCGCCACCCTACTTTCCTCCGGGTCAGAGACCTGGCGTGAAGGGAAAAAACTATCTGCAGTTTCAGGGGTGTCTACAGAAAGTTCGTAGGTTTGGCCCCCTCCTTTTATCAAAAAGACTGGTTCTCTGAACTCTACCAAGAAGAGTTCTTTTTTCAACACACTTTGGGAGAGTTTTTACACTTTATTTAACAGTGTTTTTCTGCTATGAATTTAAGAGTTGGTTAGTCTTAATCGCTACCCCCACTTGGCTTGGTTTGTCCTCCGCTGTTTACTCCGATTGCGGAAGTTGGTCGGGTGGAGCTCCAGGGACAGTACCCTAGAGTACGTCTTTTGCGTAGTTACCTAACTGGCGGCTCACCCTGGCCAATGAGATAGCCATAAACTCTGGCTGGGTGGGAAGGAGAGCCAATCAGGACCTTTGGCGGGGTGTGGCCGTGCCCCAGGGCGGGGAATCGCGTAATGGCGGACGCGAGCCGGACGAGCACGGCTGGGGGCGTAGCGCGTTGAGGGGGTCCCGTGGTGTGGCTGTCCTGAGAGTCCGTCGGCTGGAGCGGACGCGGTTCGGGGACAGGGCGGGCGACCGGCCCTTCCTGTCTCTGAGAGACACTGAGCAAGGCCAGGTGAGCAACAAGTCCTCTTGGGCGGAACCCGTAGTGAGACGCTGGTTTCGGCTGGGCAGCCCCTCAGAGTCCCGTGGGTCCCTAGGGCATGGGCGTCGTGTCTTCTGCCATAGACTCTCAAAAGCCAGCGAGCGGTCAGCACTGGGTGGCGTCTTAGTCCACTTCTCAGGGAAGATGTGATTCGGAGTCCCCCTCGAGTGCTCGCGGGTCTGTGAGGCTGCAAAAGTGTGCTGACCTGACCTGGCGCTGCCACTAGATCGTTGGTGTGGTCTTGGGCAAGTCACTTCCATTCTTACCCCGGATAAGCCTCTGTTTCTATCGCTGGACTCTGAAGTAACAGAGGTGCTCTTTGAGGTCGTGACCTGCTGAGTTGGGGAGTTGCGAGTAGGGACACACACCCGCGTGTGCACACACACAATGTTCTGCAGAGTAAGGAGGCCAGTTGGGGCTCTTCCGTGAAGGCAGTGGGCACTACACAATGGGGACCGGGTCCACCAGCCACCTTAGGGTCTCTGACATAGAGATGCAGAAGGAATCCTTGGAGATTCTTGGGGCTGATTGGAATTTAGATTTACAAGACAGGAGGCAGAACAACCTATATGGTATCCTTACTATATGCCAAACCTTGGCATATGTTTTTGTTTAATATTTTCAGCTATCCTAGAGAATTTACACATAAGGAAACTGTTATATAGCACACAGTAAAGTGCAGAATTCACTAACCTGAAGGTGTTTCCACTGAGAATCACTGGCAAAGGGCAAAGGGCAAGTCATTGCTCACTTAAAAGATAGTATTAGGGATGTTTGTGTTGTCAGAAATGGGGAGTAAGAGGGGATCTGGTTCCAAATATTTGATTTGGCTTCTTGGTATAGAGGCAGGATGGTTCTTGATCTCTGGATGTTTAATTATAAGTCCATCATCCTCTTTGTTCAGCCTGTGAGTTAAATCTATTTCTAAGTTGTAAAAGTCAGTTTGGGGGCTGGAGATTTAGCTCAGCGGCATAAGTACCTGCCTTGCAAGCAGGCGGTCGTGAGTTCGATCCCCAGTACCGATAAAAATGAAAAAAAGACAAAAAAAAAAAAAAAAAAAAGTCAGTTTGAAGTGTGTCAGAAGCTCAGAGAACTCAATTTGAGTTCTGATTGGATGTGGACAAATTAGCCATCACTTGTAGAGACTTATCTTTTGATTCAGGGTGGTGGCAGCCCAGTGTGTTTCTTCTTGCTAAGAATGGCACATTTTCTTGGGATGGGAGAAATTTCTCTTTTATTGGTTCAAATTTCTTTGAGTTTCTTGGGATAATTTTTTTTTGTGTGTGTGTTGTCCGGTATCTTTCTTTTAGCTGAGTAGAGACTGTGGACCTGGGGTAGGTAGTTGTTTGGTACCATAAATTGCAACCCTTGACCTTTTCAAGCTCCCAGTGTTGGGTTAAGCAACATAAGTCTGGCTGTGGGTATTGTTCTCTTGTGTCAATGGTGAGGAAGAAAATTGTAAGAGGAAGTTGCTAAGAAAGAGGGCGTTCCTTAGTGTGGAGCCAATATGTATTTTCATTGTTTGAAATTCTAAAACCAGAAAAGCAGCAATTAAAGGAAGAAGGAAGGAAAGAACTATGAAATTCTTCTTCCTGTTCAAAAGATCTTTAAGAAGTTTTCCTTCTCCATCCATATCTGAGGCTCTGCTTTCACAGAAAAAGTTGTAATTTATTGGATGTTCAGAAACTTCGCTGGAATGAAACAATTTTAAATCTTAAACTTACTGAGATAAAGTTTTTAAAAAATCAGAACATTTACTGAGTTATCACTGATGATTCATTTTCTTCACATAGTTATCAATTCAGTCTGTCTAAACACCACACACACTTTTTTTTTTTTTATAGACAGGTTCTTGCTATGTAGTTGAGGCTGGCCCTGAACTCACTATACAGCCCCGTTGGCCTTGAACTGCCTCAGCTTTCCAGTGCTGGGATTACAGGTGTGTGCCACCGCACCTTTCTGCAGCACTTATAGTCACTTGTTTTTTTCTTTCTTTTCTCTCTTTCTGTCTGTCTTTCTTTCTTTCTTCTTTCTTTTTTTGGAGAGAGAATCTTTCTGTGTAATTCAAGGTGGCCTTGAACTCATTGACTAGCCCAGGCTGGCCTCCAACTTGTGATTCTCCTGCCTCAGCCTCCCAAATGCTGCGATTATAGGTGTGCGCCACTCATGCTCTTTACGTGCTGTCTCTGTCTATCTGCCTATCTGTCTCTCTGGCCATTTGACTTGTTTGCTTGCTTGCTTGTTTGCTTTTTCCTGTCTCTTCTCTTTCTTTTTCTTGATACTGGATACTGGATTTCTTTTTCTTGATACTGAACCCAGGGCCTTTACACTGATCTGTACCAGTCCCCAGCACATCCATCCGTCCATCCATCCATCCATTTATCCATCTAATTTTGAGACGTAGTCTAAGTTGCTAAATTGCCCAGCTTGGGCTTGAATTTATCATCCTCTTGCCTCTGCTTCTTGCAATGTTGGGATTATAGGCATGTATTATCACACTTAGCTCTATTTTTAATGTACAATGCTTCTGCAATTTGCACATGTTGCTAAGGAGTTTATTGAAATATATTCGACTTGGCGTATTTTAAGTGCATGTTATATGACAAACTTGTATTTACCAGCCATTTGAAGTTGAATGTTTAAGCATTGAAGGGCCTCTATGAACATATTTTTTATTTTTTAATTTAATTGAAAACTTTTTGTTTGTTTGTTTGTTTTGAGGCGGGGTCTCACTATACAGTTCAGGCTGACCTTGAAGTCAATTATGTAGCCTGGGTGGCCTTGAATTTGCAACAATCTTTCTGTCTCAGCCTCCCAAGTGCTGGGATTACAGGCTTATGCACCACCACACCTGGCTGTGAATATATTTTTAAAATCTCAGGCTACTTAAATTTTCCCAGACACCTCTACTGTAGAATAAGATTGACTGGCAGTGTTGGAGAATGAAGACTATTTCTCTTTAGAAAAAGTCCTATGATACATGGATTTGAAGAATTCTGTCCTTCCAGCTATCATGTAGCTACCTGGTTCAGGGACTTCAGTTCATCTTCCTACTTCTTCATTATTCCTGAGAATGGTATCTCACTGACTGGGAAATAGAAAGAGTATGGAATAACGTGTTAGGAATTTTACGTGTAGTAAGTGTATGATTGGATTAGGAAATAGAAATAATTCTTATCCAGTCTATGTAGTTTCTTTTGTTTCATAAGCATTGAAGGGCCTCTATGAACATATTTTTTATTTTTTAATTTAATTGAAAACTTTTTGTTTGTGATAATATTGCAAAAGAATTATATAGGGGCTGGGGATTTAGCTCAGTGGCATAAGCACCTGCCTTGCAAGCAGGCGGTCATGAGTTCGATCCCCGGTACCGGAAAAAAGAAAAAAAAAAAAAAAGTTCAAAAAAAAAAAAAAGAATTATATAGTAATGGAGTAATATCTTGTTCCAAGTTATTTTTTTTGTAACTTTGGGTAAATTCTTGAAGACAAGTAGTTGTTTCTTATATTTCTTTTGTATTCTGCAATGCTTAACGGCTAGGGCTTTAAACTTGATTTGTATCAGAATTTTCCATAAAAAAGTGTACATATCTGACATGAATGCTCTTATGTCAGTTCATAGCCCACAGCTATGATTGGGAATTGTTGACATAACACATTGTAAGTGCTCAGTAAATTTCTTCCTTCCTTTCTTTCTGTCTGTCTTCAGAGGTGGGAATGGAATTTGGCCTCAGACAAGCTAGGCAAGTACTGTAGCACTGAACTATATCCTCAAGCCCCCCAAAGATTTTTTTGATTAATTTGATGTTGATCCAGATGAATTGGGTGGAATAGAAGAGGACTAGGATTTTTTCGCAGATGAAATAGCTTTCCAGGATACCAACACATATGTATCAGTTGGCAGATTTTTTTTTTTTACAACCATACTCAGTTAATTGTTGGCATCACTACCCTCATTTTATTAATAGACAGGATTGCGTACAATCGGTATGAGCAGGCAACCACAAGTTTTGTTTACTGTTTAGGCATCAGCCTTACTGAGATTGATTAGGGCAATAATTACTTAATTGAAAGGTAGGTAGAAATGCAGAATCCATGGGAATTTAAGTGAGGGAAGTAGACTACTAGGTAACAGTGATGGTGACCTAAGGGAAAAATGGCAAATTTTAGTTTGACTGGTTTTCCATCACACAGCACAGCACATAGAACATTACAGGTGCTCCGTAGCCTTTTGCTGTTTAAAGAAATGGAAAACTTCTTGATTGGAAAGAGGCATATGGGCTGTGAAGTGTGGGCTTCCCACTCACCCTTCAGAGCTGGTGTGAGAAGTGATTTATTCCCCATGCCTTCCCTGGGAAAGGTTGAGTGACATACTTGTTGAAACATTTTATCGGCCAGAGTGTCAAACCTGGTATCAGGCAAATTACAGAACTCTCCTGCCTGAGTATTGGCTTCTTTTTGCTTTTTGCTTTTTATCGGTACCGGGGATTGAACTCATGACTGCCTGCTTGCAAGGTAGGTGCTTATGCCGCTGAGCTAAATCCCCAGCCCAAGTATGGGCTTCTTAAAGGCAAGACTAAATTGTTTATTTTCTATGACCAATGTGCAACACACAATATAGATGTAGTAAATGATAATAATGCTTAAATTATGGTCTCTCTAGACTTCGTTTTGTAGCTCCTCTGTCTTCATTTCATAGAATCAGCAATGTTTAAATAGCATCCTTGTCAGTATCCACTATCTGCCAGTAGTACCTCCCTCTTCCTGTTTTGACATCCAGAAATGTCCCAGTCATTGTCCAAATTGCCCTCTGTTGAAAACCATTATATTAGTGAGTAGAGGTGGTGGAGTAGTTGAAGGAAGTGAATGTGGATATCCTCAAATATGTGTCTTCTATTTATTCCCTCTGGTTATACAGTCACTTGTCTTTTATTCTGGATAAGAAAGGAGAATGAGGGAAACCAGGAAGTGAC